AAGCAATGACAAGCCTTGGAGGGACAAGAAGTTGTAGGAGACTCAAGGGACTTCCAACTGACACGTCCTGAAAACGGGTACGGTGAATCCAAGGAAAGGTCTCATGCCTTTGACCAAACTTCCATACTTCCAAATAATGAAGGAAACTTACGAAGAAAAGTTCAAATGGTGTCTGACTCCACTTCGGACCCTCTTATCTTACATCTCCTCGAAGAAGTGAATGGGTTGAAAGCCGAGCATCAAGCCAAAATTCTTAACTGGAATCATCCAAGGCCAGACCCTCTAACAAGGAGGATCCTTTGCACCCCTCTACAAGGAAAAATTAAACAAAAGCTTGGCTTACAATCATATACTGGGAGGGAAGATCCAATTGAGCATATCCATGTCTTCGAATCTACCATGGCATACCGAAGACACAATGATGAAGAACAATGTCTCATATTCCCCTCAACCCTCTCTAGTAGAGCTCTCAATTGATATTGTCATCTTCAACCTAATACTGGGGATTCCTTCGCTGAGCTAGGAAGACTTTTCATGACTCAACACATCTTCCAAGTTGATCGCTTACACTCCACTGATGAGTTATACACCATTCGTTAGAAATCGAACGAGTCAAGAGTATTCTTGTTGCGCTAAGGCAGACGATAAAACAACACTCAGGGCCTTCACGGTAGGCATGCGTGAATGCTTTTTCAAGTACGTGATCAATGTTAACACTTGGAAGACTGTGATGATGCAAGCTTACAATCATGCCTACCAAGTGAGGAGGTTTTGACCATTCAAGTTGTACCAAGTGAGGAGGTTTTGACCATTCAGACACCCATTGCATCCTCTCCTATCTCATTTAGCTATTCGCTAAGTCACCAAACGTATTCGTCTCTCAATAAGAGGAAAGATTTTTACTCTCAACAAGCTCATTACAACAAGAAGGATAAAGGTTCGTATCAAGACAACCAAGGGTGAACGTACCTTCAACTATTATGACCATGGGGTCAAGCTTCACTCTTTCAAAGTGAGGGACTAAGTGCTGAAGGAAATGCTATTATAAGAAGGCATACACATTCCAAATGTTTTGACTCTCAACCGTTTGAGATCTTTTGTAACATAAACCATTCAGCAAATATCCAATGAAGAGTGAATTCAGACAACTTCGTTTGAGTCTTTTACATTCCTAGCACTGAACACCAAGTCTATGTTAACCTACCTCTATACTCTAACTCAGAGCTTCAACATGAGTATTTTGACACAAAGTAAGTGAGACTAAGTGTTACACCCAACATGGTTCACATATCCAAACAATGGATTCCTTCATGCATAGCAAAACATTCATAAGCATCACTCATGTCAATCAACATAAACATCATACATTTCAATACATTCATACACAAGTCAACTGAGCTTCGAAGGGGTGTCAACATGTATTTTTCCATTCGGCACTTACTACAATGTGCATCGGCAACTTGCCCTTATCCTCACCAACCAAGTGATGAAAGAACTCACCTTCGTGTCACCAACCAGGTGATGAAGAGCACAACCAGTACTCTAATGAACAATGTTGAGATTCAGCAACTCAACACTCTTCTTACCAACTAGGTGATGAAGCAACTCACCTTCATATCACCAACCAGGTGGTGGTAAATACAACTAGTACTTTAATAAACATTTTTACCTCGACAACTCACCACTTCTCTCACCAAACGGATGATGAAAGAACTTACTTTTTTTTTCACCAACTAGGGAAGAACAATACATCATGCACATGTGGATTCTTAGCATTTATAAGCAATCGAAAATTTTCAAGCCTTACACTCAGAAAAGGCATATGCAAACTCAACAAAGCCTTCCACACTCTTGTTCAAGAGTGTGGAAGCAAAATCGTATTATATGGTTCAACAAACCTCCAACAATTACAACACGTAAATTGTCTTCTACACTATTGCCCAAGAGTGGGGAAGCAAAATCTATTTGTATGGTTCCTCTGAACTTTCACCTACTACATGTAGATTGATTTCCACACTCTTACTTAATAGTATGGAAGCAAAATCTATATATGTGGTCTCTCCCACATACTCTTGTCCCTAGTGATAGACGCATATTTATGCGACTTAGTTAACTAGTTTTCTTGCATTTACGTTATTAGTTCTTAGTTATTTTAGTACTTTAAGCCATTTTCGTGTGTTTGTAGGTCCAAAGGGCTAAGGTAGCAAGAAAGTGCATTGTGGTGCATTTTGGAGCAGTTTTGAGCTTGGAATGGATTACATATGATATGAGCAAGATGGATGGACGAATTTGAAGACAAAAGAGGCTAAGAACATGCTAAAAATCTGGTGAAACAAATACAAGTTGCAAGAAGGGATAAATTTCTAGAAGGATTGGCCAAAACTTCACTCAAAACACATCAATGCCATGGCTTTTACTTCCACCTCCACCAGAAATTTGAGTAATGATGCAATGCTTAACTCACCATGACATGTGAGTGGATGATGCAATGCTTAGCTCACCATGACATGTCAGTGGATGATGCAATGCTTAGCTAACCATGACATGTGAGTGGATGACTCAATACCTAACCCACCAACAATTCCCACTCTTTGCCATGCTCACACCTACTCAATTCCACCAACATTTTGTGTTAAACAAGTCCATCCTCTTCCTATAAATACCATGGCATCAACCTCATTCAAATCATCCAGAAATTAACCATTCTCCAAGCCTTTCCTTGCCTCTCCTACATATCTAAACCCCTTCCCATCCATTCCTCCAAATAACCAACCCTTCAACATCATTCCAACCTTGTTGTTGCGGCAAAGAGAAGGAGAAAAGTCCTTAGACGCACTTGCTATCCAACATGGATCGTTGGGAACGTTTAGGTGCTTTCTTTCCTTTGTTTTTCAATGTTTAAATTTGTTTATCTTTGTTTTGTAATAATGAGGAACTAAACCCCCCTTGGCTAGGGGGGGATTCGAAACCATGTTAATGCTTGCAATATGATTTGATTACTTTTAATTGTGTTTCATAAGTTATGAATTCGATTTACTTATCTATTTGATTGATAACATGTTTATGTATGTTGATTAGGGATGCATACTTAGTTTGCATGCATAAATATGATGCTAGAGTATAAGGGAATTTCACCTAATCGTTATGAACTTATATTCATGAGTAGTAAAAGTCGCTAGTCATGATTGTGTTAAGTAAATCCTTGGCATAAGTTTCATGCAAATCATAGTAACGAGTGCCTCGTCAATGCTTATGTTTTTCATAGAACTTAATGATTCTTGCTTGTATCTCTATTATGCAATTCATGTAGGGAACTTGTAGGGAATGTTTTGGGTTGTCGTATGCAATCATCCAACCCAATAACTTGTGGAAAAACTGAGGGTTAATTAGTGCAATTCACGGTTAATTTGGGGCGTTGAGAATTAATAAGTTATTGAAATGCAATTGGAAATCATTTTGTATGCAAGCAAGACATGTGTGGAGAAGAACCCCTTAGCTAGCCTTCCATTATCCATTCAACCCAAATTTGTTTAAAATCTATTTAAGTTTTTAGTTTATTCGTTTTTACTTTCAAGTTCACCAAACTCAAATCCCCCTTTTACTTTCTTGTTTTAAAGTCTTTTGTTTACATTTTTAACTTTGTTTCTTTTTGTTTTTGAGTCAGTTTAGAGGTTTTAGCAAGCCCTCCTAATCCCCGGTTTAGAACGATCCCTACTTACATACTTTGCTACAATTGTCAAAAAGAGGGTTTAATTTGTGTGCTTATATATTTCGCATCACCTAGTTCAAGAAAAAAAATGAAATTAATTAATTATTAATTACCATTTAATTAACTAATTAGTTATTATTTCGATAATTATTAATCAATTAATTAATTGTTAATTACTAATTAATTGATTATTAATCAACTAATTAATCGCTAAGCAATCATTAAGGTCAACAAAAACTTCAACACATGGTAGATAACTATAGCATGTAGATTGCCTTCCACACTCTTCTTCACGAGTGTGGAAACAAAATCAACTTATGAGATCCTATAAAAGCGCTTCCCACACCCTTGAAGAGAGAAAGCTTCCCACACCTAAGGAAGAGAGCTTCCCACACTTTTGAAGGGAGAGAGCTTCCCACACCCTTGAAGGAAGAGAGCTTCCAACACCCTTGAAGGGAGAGAGCTTCCCACACCTAAAGGTGTGAACTTCCCTCACCCAAGGAAGAGAGCTTCCCACCCACACCCAAGGGTGTGAACTTCCCTCACCCAAGGAAGAGAGCTTCCCACACCCAAGGAAGAGAGCTTCCCACACCCAAGGGTATGAGCTTCCCACACCCAAATTCTAAAAGCCTTCCTCACTCTTCTTCAAGAGTGTGGAAGCAAAATCTATTTATGTGCTTCAAAGGAGCTTCAACAAGAATTCCAAAAGCCTTCCACACTCTTGAACACTCTTCTTCAAGAGTGGAAGCAAAATCTATTTATGTACTCTTCAAAAAAAAGCTTCAACCGAAAGCTTTAACAAAAAATTCAAAAAGCCTTCCACACTCTTCTTCAAGAGTGTGGAAGCAAAATCTATTTATGTGCTTCAAAAAATATGTACTTAATGTGCTTAAATAAAAAAAAGAAAAAAAAAAGAGCGCTTTAACCGAAAGCTTCAACACATAATTTCAACAAAACCTTCCACACTCTTGCTCAAGTGGAAGCAAAACCTACTTATATGATTTTTTTTTTCTCACGTTAGATCACTCAAGCTATACCCATACACAAGCAAAAAACCTACCATCCACAACCTACACCCATTAACCACTTTTTCAAACTCAAATTACAACAAGAAAGGCAATCACTACCCAAATCCAATTGAAGTGCCGTCACACGGAAAGTGGTAGTCCAGTTAAGTTTAATTTATAATCCAGATTTGCAAGCAGGAGACATAATTATAATACAAAAGAGGCATTTTTGAATAAGTGGAAGAATATGCAGAAAGAGATCGAAATGTAAAAAAGCTAAGAAGCATTAAATGTTGGTTGATTACAGAAAAGAGGAATGCAATCAAACACTCAAGTATCAATGTTTTCATTGGGTACAGACAGTACCAACAGAAAATAACCTTGGCTTGACAACACCCCTACCGCTACCTCCCCTTTCCCCTCGCTCTTTCCTTCTCAATCAAACTTCACCAGCGGCACCCATTGCCTAGACCGTAATAAACCCCAAGGCAGCCCGCATCAAAACCCAACTTCAACCCCTGCAAAAAAAAAAAAAAAATATATATATATATATAAAATAAAAAACACAATTAATCAAGACCCCCGGACGGAAAATCCAGTAGAAAATCACAAAAAAATGGAGGAGTGTTGGACCTCTTAAGCTGCAAACCCAGGCCTTCAAATTCGAGAACAGCTTTCTGCAACAACTCACTTCTTTGATCCTTCACTCACTCCTCAAGCTTTTCTAATGAATTCAAACCAGAGCTTCAGCAACCAGCGAGCTTTGGGCAGCTTTCAACCTTTAACCCACCTCCTTCAAAACTCAAATCAAAACCCCAATAACCCCTTCTCCTCCAAGCTCCTGAAATTTATATCTTGGAGTGAAGTTAAAAGCAACCAAGTTCAAGACTTTGATTTTTTGTGAGGACCCAAGTGGAACCACCAAACCCTTTGTCTCGCAGCGGTGAATGCCTGTGTGGAAGGGACGTGACTAGGGAGTTCTGACCTCCGACACTACTGTCAAAACCTAGCAGCCCGAGCTTGAACCCAAACCCGTTTTTAGCAACAAATATCACCCCTGGGACCTGCCCGTCTAGCGCCGCGCTTGCCTCTGTCTCCGTTCCCCTAGCTCTCTCGCCGCGACCCTAACAACATCGACTGAATTAAACGGGATACTATTTCACTTGAGAATCTTGACCACAGTCAGATGGGGAAGGCCTGGACTTAAGCAAAGGAGCAAGAATTTCGGTGTTGAAGGAAATGGGTGACTGCAAAACAAAAAACTAGTAAAACGAAGAAGATGGGGAAGGATGGAGAGACTGGGTTACTAAAACTAGGAAAAAAAGAGGCTGTGCGGGGAAGAAGGCACGGGTGGAGCAAGGGTGGAAGGCTAGGTTTCGAGTAGGCCTCGGGCCAATTTCAACAAAAGCTAGGCCTCTTCTCCTCGCCTAGAGACTTAGGGGACTACTATATATGCTACTACACATCGGTACTTAGAAGTTTCGTGTTTACTCAATGACTTGGATTTGTCAAGTTCCCAACCGAGAAGCTTTCCTCATTCGGGAACATAAGGGAGCACTATTTGTACCATACTTGACCAATCTTGAAACTTCCAAGTACCGATCAACGTCATACCTTCAAGGACCTATTGAGGGGTTTATGCTAAGGCACCCATGCCAAAGCATAAAAGTTTCCCTCCAACCAGGAGGCCAATCACAGCGCAACACATGTTAACGTTAGAAAAAGCTCATAGAGTCCCACATCAACCGCGGACAAAAGCTAAAGACTCTCGTTAACTATAAAAGGAGACCATTCTCCTACAATTAATCCTTAATGTCATTATTGTACTTAAACTAGTCATTAGAACCCACTAATGATAATTATGCTTAAACCTATGTATTTGTGTAAACCCTTCACTATTAATGAGAATTCTTCTACTCCATGGATGTAGCCAAACTTAGAGTGAACTTGTAGACATCGAAATTTTGGTGAAATAAATGTTGATCAATAATTAAAATTTCAACGTTCATGTGTCACATAAATTTTACACATAGCAGGTGACTCAACGAAAAATCGAGAATCATCAGAAAAAGTCATCAAACAGGACACGTGTCAACACCTGGCAGAAACGATTTATTTCATCTGAATAATATATTCAAATTAGGCTTTGGAAAATTCTATAAATAGAAGCCATTTCATTCATTTAGAAAAAAAGAAACCAATTCATAACCAATTCACCTCACACCAAAACCTTGAAGCTTTGAAACTCCAAAGCTTCCAAGCAAATCCCGAAGGATCAAGAAAGCTCTCTTCGTTCTTCGTCAACCCAACCTTCAGGATCAAGCCCCAACGGCCCTTTGAAGGAACTTCCACAAATTCAAGATCAAGCCCCGACGACCCTTGAAGAAAGCGTTCATCATTCATCATCCGTTCATCCTAAGATCAAGCCCCAACGGCCCTTTGGATCAACAACATCAACAAATCCACATATCCAACCATTCTTCAAGATAAAGCCCAAAAGCCCTTGAAGATCCATTCATCAACTGTTCATCAAGATTAAGCCCCAAAGGCCTTTGAAAATCCGTTCATCAACAGTTCTTCAAGATCAAGCCCAAAAGCCTTGAAGATTTGTTCATCCATCAACCTTTAAGATCAAGCCCAAAGGCCCTTGAAGAAACTTCCCTCAATCTTCAAGATTAGGCCCCAACGGCCTTTGAAGAAAACTTTCAACCGTTCATCCAAGATCAAGCCTCAACGGCCCTTGGATAAATCGCACATCCACAAATCAACACCTTACGAAGATCGAATCAGAGGATCAAATTTGAGAGAGATTGTAACCCTAAAATCATCAATACAAAATATTATTTTGTACACGTGTTCTTGCCTCGTTTGTTTCAGGAATTTCCGTGTTTACAAATTTGGCACGCCCAGTGGGACCAGCTCTACCTCTCATCTCTTTGTTCGTTCAAGGAATCCAAACACACCTCAAAGTCAATGGCATCAAGTAAGGGACAAGCCGTTTTTGCAACCACCAAGGGAAGGATCCTGAGCACTTATACTGTGAACGGACAATCCATTGGCGCCACAACCGCTCCTTAACATGCCACTTCAAAGGTTGTGCTGCTAAAGGAGCAAGGGGAGCATCAAAAGCGTGAATACGTCATCAACCTGACCTCGCTGGGGGCACCGAAGCATGCTGCTGAGGCACATAAGATGACATCCCAAAGCAGCCAACGACGTTCTTCGTCAGCATCTTAGATCTATTGGTTGCACAAGTCATGACCATCGGCGTTACCTCCATCAAAGAACAACTGGCTCAAATGAATGAAGCGATCACAAGGCTAACACGGATTGTGGAAGAAAAAGACTTGCAAATCGCTGCACTAGTCAGCTGACTGGAGCCACAGGACGGCAAGAACCCCGACCCAGAGGATGATCCACTAAAGAGATGAGCTGGCGAAGAAGATGAGCCTCTGATGGAGAAAATCGATGTGAAGCCGGAGCCAGACCAAGCAGCGGCACTCATGGGATCTCTTTCTATCCAGCAGCTGCAAGAGATGATCACCAACACCATCAAGGCGTAGTACGAAGGGAGCTCACATACCTCCTTGTTCTACTCGAAGCCATACTCCAAGAAGATTGATGCCTTGAAGATGCCAAGGGGTTATCAACCACCAAAGTTCATGCAGTTTGATGGAAAAGGAAACCCAAAGCAGCACGTTGCACATTTCGTCGAAACTTGCAATAACACGGGGATGGAGGGAGACTACCTCGCCAAGCAGTTTGTGCGCTCGCTGAAAAGAAACGCCTTTGAGTGGTACACGGACCTAGAGCCTGAGTCCATCAACAATTGGGAGCAATTGGAAAGAGAATTCCTTAACCGCTTCTACAGCGCCCGCTGCACTGTAAGCATGCTGGAGCTGACAAGTACGAAGCAATTGAAAGATGAGCCTTGACTGCAAAGATAGACTTTCAGAGACCTCATCGATCGAGATGTGTGTTCAAGGCATGCAATGGGGATTACACTACATCCTTCAAGGCATCAAACCACGGACCTTTGAGGAGTTAGCCACCTGCGCCCATGACATGGAATTGAGCATCGCCCATCATGGGAAGAAAGAACCGATCACCGACTACAAGAACGACAAAGCTCTTGGGACAAAAGTGGAGAAGGCTGCGTGGAAATCCACCAAGGAAGCAATGATGGTCAACACAGCACCCGTCAAACTCTCTACACGAGGCAAGGCGATTCAAGTCGAAGCTTTTCGTGATCAAGAGATACGTAGACGTACTTTGAAGGAGCTTGAGGAGAAGACTTATCCATTCCCCGACTCTGATGTGGTTGCCATGCTGGACGACCTGTTGGACTAAAATGTGATCGACCTGCCTGAGTGAAAACGGCTAGAAGTGATGAATTGTACCAACAATCCAAGATACTGTAAATTCCACCGCTTCATCAATCATCCAACGAAAAAATGCTTCGTCCTGAAAGATCTCATCATGAAGCTGGCCCAGAAAGGAATCATCAAGCTAGATCTTGACGACGTGGTGAAGTCAAATTATACCACCATCACGTCTAGCTCGTTCAACTCAAAATCTTTGCCTCGATTGTTGGAGGCATGTTCAAAGTCAAGCAAACTTGAAGGATGGACTCATGTCGCTCCGAAGAAATTGCACATGAAACCTACGTGCATCCAGAAGTTCGCCAATCGAAAATGGGGCAAAACAGCTCTTGTCAACCTTCAAAGCTACATGAAAGTGTTGAGGATGATGAAACTTCGACACGAAGATCATCTGTCCCCATCACAATGCGCGATTTCTTCCCTAAAGACTTCTTCAATCATTCGGTCAAGACTCCTTGCTATGAAGATTGCGAGGAACGCCTCTCCAAAATTGCTTGACAAATCCACCAAATTCTCCTCGCCTGCACGAGTCTAAATTGCATGGCACAAAGCTCCTGGTCTACACGAGCATAAAAGGAAACACCAACGCTCCTTGTCCGCACGAGCATAAAAGGCGACACCAAGGCTCCTCGCCTGCACGAGCCTAAACTGCATGGCACTACGCTTCTGGTCTGCACGAGCATAAAAGGCAATACCAACACTCTTGAAACTGCATCACGGCATCAAACACTCCTTGCCTACACGAGTTGAAACTGCAAATGGCACCAAAAGAAAATACAAAAAAAAAGAAAAGAATGTATTTGAACTACGTTATGACTTGATCTCTTCTTTGGAGGGGTACATAGGTTGCTCGAGCATTCAATTTCGAGTTCAGTCACATCAAAATAAAAGAATAAATGTTTTATTAAATAAGGTCAATTTTATTACAAATTTATTTTGTTAAAAAAATTGCAATTTTCTTTGTACAAAATTAAATCACAGTTTCTTCGAAAAAAAAATGGAGTACATATGTTATGTATTTACAAAAAAAAAAAAAAAAAAAAAAAAAAAAAGAAGAGAATTGGGTCGCCCCCTCTTCTACACTGACAGAAAGAGAGTCAAAGGCCAGAGACCGATTGACGCCATGGGCCACGCAAGAGGCCCATTCTGCTTCTTCTTATTCGTCGATATGGTCATGGTGATGACCCTCAAGGACACCGAATTCATCAAAGTCGACCAAGCCACGCTCTTTGATCTTATCCTGGCTGCGAATTATTTGAACATAAAGAGGTTGCTAGACCCAACCAACCATCATCTTCATCTCTCTCCTCCTCACCACCTGCATTGCTCTATCCACCGCTTCTCTCTCATCGAGCAACACCCAACCAAGTGGACATTGCAAAGTTAGACGAAACAGGGGGATCTAGTCGGACCCCAACCTGTCATTCGAGTGACCCAGGACCTAAGTTCATTTTTCTCGAGCATTTACATTCTCAAACTCCCTCTGATGACATTGCTCCGGAGACTAAGGAACCTGAAATTAAGACAGAACAACAAGCGGTGGAGGTTGAGTCTCTCTGTTAATGTCTTTCGCAAAGCCATCTCTTTGAACCTTTATTGCAGAGCAATCATCCCAGCAAGCAGTGCGTAGCCGTCATCCCAGCGAGCAGTACCAAACATTTAGTGCAGTAATCAGCAGCAACGTAGTGAGCGGCAGTGTGCAGCAATCTCTAGCAGCCTATTTTTCTTCATCACCGCTTGGCTCTCCTTCCTGATCCCCACCGCCGTTCTGCAGCCTGCTCACGACGACGGGTGTAGCATCATCACCGACGAGGTCCGGAAGGTCTTCAAAAGCTTCAACTTCAACGACTCCACCCTCTCCTCCAAGCTCAGCAACAACACCAAGAAGGTTGTATTCCTATGGATGCATGACTCCTCTTTCAGCACAACTTCCGTCCTCAGCTCCAACTCCAACACCCTTCTTTGGCAGATGCGAAGATCAGCATTGCCGTTGTAACCGTCATCGAAGCCATTGGCTCTGGTAGCTCCACTAAATGGTCGGGACTTACCCCAGCTCACTCGTCCTCCTCTACAAGCCTTCCCTTTCTGCTTATCAGCTTCAGCAGCAAGAAACACGGCGAAACCATCAACAATGAGTGACACTCCCCTCCGCAGCAAGCGATGTCCCTTGTAGCAAACAGCAACGATAGTTTCAA